CTTAAATAGCCCAATGTCTAGGTGGCATTCGGGAACAAATTTCTTCACAAAAAAGTGTTCATGCAAATCCTTATAAATTTAAAAGAGTATGAGTTTTTAGGTAAGTTTGAGTTTGAAATTTAAGATTTTTATGAACCTTTCTAAAAGTCTCTAACATCTAGATAGACTTTCGGAGCAAGCTCATTTTTATAATTTTTAAAAATTAATCTTTATATTCTTATATTTCGTATATATTTCTTCTTTCTTTAAAACCATCATTAATATTATTATTGCTATTATTATTATTATTATTATTATTATGCATAACTTTAAAGTGCATGAAAAATAAAATACATCAAATGTGGATTTAAGTATGAAAGCTTAAATTTGAATGAGCATGGAAATTCAAATAATAAAGAAATTAACAATGTATGAAATTTAGCTTACAATTAAATTTAAGCGATCATAAAACAAAAATTTGCAAGGGTATAATTAAAATCAAACACAAATAGAAAAAAAAAAAAACTTTCTGGGACCTACAACTTTTATACATATAAAGGCTTTGTTTTGTTCCTTATATGGCTTTCTTTTTTAATAATATTTTTCCATTCTTCAATCTAAAAACAAGCTAACTACGTGGGGAGTCCCCACTCATTCTCTAGTTTTATCTTGTATATGGTTTCTTTATTTGAATAATTTTTATTCTCCCATCCTAAAAAACAACATGCAACCCGTAACCTTCTTTTAAAATAAAGCTCTAGCTTTCACCCTTACACATAACTCAATGTCAGGAATCCCCATGTATAAACAAAATCAATGAATGGAACCGAAACTAATATATTCTGAACAAGGGGCCATACATGAAAGTGAACCGTTGAGCTTCTATAGTCCTCTGTTGGTAGTAGTTATGAACTAATAAAGTAGCTATGAAACAACAAGCTCAGGGTGAGGAAAGGATGAAAGAGCACACAAGAACTCAATCAAACCAAGAAAATATGAAACAACAAGCAAAACTTATAACTACCACCATGAGAGGAAACGAAACCATATATCTTAAACAAGAAACCATGCATGAAAAGGAAGCTTTGAGCTTCCATAATCCTCCATTGGCAGTAGCTATGAAACACAACAATAGCTATCACTAGAGGGGTTTAGGTTTTTAGTGGTGTTTTTCTTAACATTTAGAGACGTTTATAAATACCACTAAAAGATTTGCAGTGTTTGCGAAAAATGCCAATAAGAATGCTGGCTATACACGTATCATGAAAAATTATAGCATTTTCTATAAAATGCCACTATATTAGCGGTGTTTATATGGGGAAAACTTCGCTATATTAGTGGCGTTTGAATCTAGAACACGTTACTCTATTAGCAGCATTTGTATGTGGAAAACGCCGCTATATTAGCAACGTCTGTATCTAGAAAACACTGCTATTTTAGTGGTATTTGTATCTTTGAGACGCCACTAATTTAGTGACATTTTTATAAAAAAAAATGTTGTTACTTTGGTGGCATTTGTATAAAAAAATGTCGTTAATTTAGCGTATTTTCTAGTAAGGGCATCGCTACTTTTATTGGTGTTTTATGGTATAAACACCACTAAATTATTCATTTAGTGACATTCTTGAATGCAAATATCACAAAATTAAAAAATGTATTTTTTTAAATAAAAAATTTTTATTAATATTTATTATTTTCATAAACGAGCTTAAATTCAGAAACTAAAATTAATGTAAGCTTAATTCACATTCAAATATGCATCTAATTAACACAAAATTTAATAATCAGTACCATTCAAATTTTTTTAATACATTAACAAAATAAAAATTAAAATGTATGAAATTAATGACTGTATAGATTTTGAAGGCTGCCAATTGATGAAGGAATTTTTCTACTTTGGTCACTAGCGTGCTCAAGAACCTACTGTATAATAGCATACAATTTTTAACACTTCATTGTAAGCTTTTTTTATATTAAAAAATATAAATATTTACTAAATACAATACTTGAGTTGGTGGAACATCAGGATAAGTTCTTGGAAATTGTTGTTGCACAAAATTCATAAAATGATCGAATCAATCATGCAACTACTAAAATTTTGAACATTCTTGCTTCATTCTAACACATTTTTTCCTCAATTTTGGCACGTTCT